AAATACAGAATACATAGATACAGACATACAGTAATACAGTCATACAGGGATACAGAAATACAGACATACAGGGATACAGAAATACAGTAATACAGACATACACACATACGGTAATACAGACATACAGGGATACAGAAATACAGAAGTACAGAAGTACAGAAGTACAGAAGTACAGAATACAGAGATACAGAGATACAGACATACACACACACACACACACACACACACACACACACACACACACACACACACACACAGTATGCCATCTGGATTTGGAAAAGATTCTCCCACCACTGCGGCTGGAGCGCGATCTTCACCCCGACCACACAGCGCACCCTCGTCGGAGGAAGGACGTTCGCGCATGCGTCCCCGTGGCCATCGGTACTCCAACCACACTTATAGGCTTCCCCGCACCATTGGCCGAGCGGCCAACACGAGAGGGAGGCCGAAGAGGGGGATGTGTGTGCCTGCTTGATCGTCTCCCTCCCTCTCGCTCGCCTCTTCCGTGGCAGCTTCCTTCCATTCCTCTCGGCCACACACACACACACACACACACACACACACACACACACACACACACACACAAATGTGTGTTACAATACACCGCAGATGCCTATATCAGAGCCGGCCTCCACACATGTGCACTTTTTAGAGGGGGCATACATATGCCTGCACGTCTCCCTGAAGAGGGCGGCGCGGGGGGAAGATGACGATGCCCCGGGCGGCCAGGCAGAGGAGGCTAAAGTCGTTGGGGAAGCCTGGCCAGTGGCCAGGGTGTCAGGCGTGCCAAAAGTGCGGACATGCCTGGGGCCGCCCCGGCAGTCAACTGGAAGGCCGGCCGTTTGCGGTCCTACGCCACAGCCATGGGGCCGCCGCACCCGGTCGAGGGAAAAGGATTACATGCAAACTGGCAGGACATGGCGCACGACGTGTCGGTTAATTGCTCCACTGAGTTCACCTAAATGAGGCTAATGCGCTACGTGATTTTCGCTATGGGACGCTATTGTCGGTGGCTCCTGTGCTCGAATGCCAGCGCCGATTGAATGGCCCACAATCACTCCCGGGTGGCCGGCCGCCACGCCGGCTCCGTTCTTCCTCAGTAGCACGCAGGGGATGCACCCGCCCTGCATGAGAACAAGTCCCGGGCCCCGCGCCCGCCCCGGGTGTTCACCCGAAGTGGGCGACAAAAGCATGACCCCCAGACAAACGCGCACACACACCCACCACACCAGCACATACCCACACGCATCCACACCTACACAGGGGGAGCAGCCCCTCACTCTCTGCCTTGGACTGACACAACACCGAGGCGCCAGCGGGCAGGGGAGGGGGGGAGCCCTCCGGGACAGGAAAAACACAGGCAAGCCGGGAACCCGGGAGCGAGAAGAAGAGAGACAGACAAGGACAGGTGTAGTGGTGTGCCGAGCGAGAGGGGCCTCCTCGTGCCTGTCCCTCCTCTGCTGCTGTCTTGTGCACGGACACACGGGCACGCAGACACACACAGACAGGGCCACGCACGCACGGGCCCCCTCGCGCTGCTGGCGCGCGCGCACCGGTGCACGGAGCGGATGCACGAGTCGGGGGAAGACAGGGATGGATGGACAAAAAAAGCGGCACGCAGGCGACACACAAGCCGGCGCCTTTCTCGCGCGCGAGCGCGCGCACTACTGGTGCGCGCGCGCCACGGGGGGCCAGCGAGGGGCGGGGAGGGGGAGGGGGGGGGGGAGAACAAAGAGAGAAGGGCGCCTGGCGGGTCCGCCCCCCCTCCCCCTCCCCCTCTCCCTGGCGGGGAGGAAGGAGCCACGATGCTCCACCGGAAAAAAAGTAAGCCAGGCCCCTCCCGCCCATGGGAAAGGGAGAAAAGGGGGCGAGGGGCGCGCAGGGGGGGGCCGGAAGAAGGCGCCCTCGCTCGCGGCCCGTTAGCCCCCGCGGCTGAGCTGCGCAAGCACCTCAACCTCATTGTCCAGGAGCGCGTGCCGGCGGAAGAGGGGCAGCCACTCGCGGATGACCGCGCGGTCGGACGGCCGAAGGATGAGCGTGGCCGAGGCGGCCGATGCCCCGGCCCCCCGGGGGATGGCCCCGGCGATGGCCGCCCGCAGGGCCGTCGAGCTGACCGACTGCGGGGTGGAGATATTCCGCGGCCCGGATGAGGACGAGGAGGAGGAGGAGGAGGAGGAGGAGGAGGAGGAAGACCCCCCGCCGACGGCAGGGGAGAAGGCCCCGCCGAGGGCCGACGAAGTGGACGCACTGCTGGCGTGCGACGGGACGACCGTGACCACGGATGCGCCGCCGCCGCCGCCGCCGCCTGGCGCATCGATCGACGCCGGGGCCCCAGACACATAGAGCACCAGCTGGTCGAGGGCCGCCTTGGCCGACACCGTGGGCAGGAGCCCCGCCGTGGCCCCGGGGTCCCCGCCGATCAGCGGGCTGGCCAGGCCCCCGGCCCCGGCCCCGGCCGGCTCCAGTAGATATGTGATGGCGATGAGGTCGCGGCAGGCCGTCGCCGCCGCCGCCGCCGCCCCGGCCGCCGCCGGCGTGGCGGCCGACGAAGCCAGCAGGGACTCCCCGTCGACCGGGGCCCCTGCCCGGGGAGCCGCAATCTCAATGGCCACATAGGCCACCGCATAGATGGGAATCGACAGGATGGGCAGGCGCCGGCCGAGGAAGGCCTGCTCGCAGGCGTAGATGTTGATTTGCCCCCGCTCATACAGCACATAGCGCGAGTGCCAGTGGTCCAGGGTGGCGGTGCCGACGCCGCGCAAGGGCACCGACGCCGGCCCGGGCCCGGCCGACGGGGCGTGGGCCCCGGGGCCGGTGGTAGCGCCGCCGCCGCCGGCCAGAGCCAGACGCGCACTCGCCCCGGCACACAACTTGGTCTGGATGCAGGACACGGCACAGCCACAGTGCGCCGGCGCGGTGCAGGGCGCCACCATGGCACCAGCGGGGCCGGCGGCCGGCCGGCCGGCCGCCGGCACCGGGCTGCCGGGGCCGGCCCCATCGTCCGCTCGATCGCCGGCCTTGCCACCGGGCGAGGCGCCGCTCAGCGAGAAAGACCGAAGGGTCCGGACCGGGGTCGATGGGGGCGGCGCATCGGCCGGGGGGGCGGGTCCCCCGGCGCCCGGCGGTGACCCCGGCATCGGCCCGGCTGCGCCGGCCGCCGCGGTCGCCGCCGGCAGCTGCGGCGACGAGGCCCCACTCGAGTCGGCCGAATTCGGCCCCGATGCCAGGGGCAACAGCAGCTGGGCCAGGGAGGCCAGCATGAAGCTGCTCCCGCGCCAGGAACCCCCGGCAGACGCCAGCCCCGGGGCCGCAGAGGAAGAAGACACCGATGACGCCGACGAGGGGGAGGGCGAGGAAGACCCCCCCCCGGCCGGCTCCGGGGGAGGCGGCGCCTCGCCCCCGAACAGGCTCGTGGCAAAGGGCAGGCACAGGTGGTCCGAGTGGAACTTCAGCACGGCCGCCGGGCGGAAGCCCAATTCCCGGAAGAGGGTCACATCGCGGAATTTGGTGTAGGCACAGGCCAGCTCGCGTGCGATGACATACTGCAGCAGGCGGCCCAGCTGGCCGAAGAAGGAGAAAATCGTGCACAGGTCCCCGACCACCATGTCCACGGTGGCGGCCTTGGTCACCTCGCACAGGGCCCCCACAATCAGCGTGTCATACTGCAGCATGAGCTTGACAAACTCGATGGACTGCGGGCTCAGCAGCGGGTCGGCCACCTCCAGCAGGTAGGAGTCCGACACCCCGACCACCGACAGCGGCCGGTTGGGCGGCTGCGACAGCGAGGACGTCGAGGCGCTCTTCAGCCGGCTCAGCGTGCCGTACCGGCCCCCGAGCGAGGCGCCCCCGCCGCCGAGGAGGGCCCGCGCCCGCGAGGGCGAGGCGGTGGCCGCCGGGGCCGCCGCTGCCGGCTCCGCCGCCGGCCGTGCGAGCGGGACACTGGGGCTGGATTCCAGGGGTGGCTGCTCGTGCAGGTCCACATTGCTGGTGGCCAGCGATTGGCACAGGGCGCCGGCGAGGTCCCGGCGGAGCATCTGCCACCGTCGGGACATGGGGGGGGGGGGGAGAAGGGGGAAGGGCGAGCGGGCATTTCACAGGCCGCGTGGTCACGGGCGGCCGCAGAGGGCGCGAACATCCACCAGGTTAGCCAAGGGCCCCAGGGAGGGGGGGGGAGGGGGCGGGGGACAGCAAAGCCAGAAGGAAGGCAGGGCCGGCAGGCGCAAGGGGAAGGGGGGCGGGGAGGGCGGGCGAGGGAGGGACACAGAGGAAGAAGGAAAAAAAAAAAGGGCAGCGGCGAGCCAGCCCCAAGTCGCTGGTCGACACGCACCAGCAGCTCCGCGGCTCGGAGCTCCGAGTCGGACAGGGCCGAGGAGGCGGGGGCCCGCAGGCGGGGCGTGGTCGCGGCATAGGCCGATGCCCGGCGCAGGGGAACGGCCAGCTGGCGCACCAGGCGCCGGACGGACTTGCGCACCGCGGAGCTCGGGGCCGGGGTGTCCACATGCCCGGCGGAGGGGCTGATGGGCGACGAGGCGCCGCCGGCCCCGGCGCCCGACGCGGCTGACAGACGGTCCGGGCTGGACGCGGCCCCGGGCCCGGTCGACGGGGAGGACGAATGCATCAGCAGACTGTCGTAGGTTGTCCGGTAGGAGGAGGCCGGGCTGGTCCGGTCATTCAGGTGAACCAGCCTCTCATTCAGCTCGGCCGTCGACAGGGGAGGCGGCGCCCGGTCCAGATCCGGCGGCGGGGGGGGGATAGCCTGGCCCGGGGGCAGCGGCGCCCCGGCCACCAGGACCAGCGGCTCGGCCGTGATCTCCGTGGCGATGTGCGTGACGACATTGCTGCCAGTGGCGGCGGCGGCGGCGGCGGCGGCGGCGGCGGCCGTAACCGCTGCCGGAGTGGCTGGGCTGGCGCTGCGGGCAGCCGCAGCCACCGGAGCAGGCGGCGCCGCGATGGTGGTGTCGATGGCCGACGCCGGCCCGGCCGGGGTGGTGGCCGGGCTCGGGGCAGGGCTGGCCACCGACATGGAAACCGCGTCGGCCTCCGGCCCCCGGGGGCCCGGCTGCTGGCCCGAGGGGAGGGGCGCCGCCTTGCCGGCCGACGGCGGAACCGGCGGCCGCCCGGGCGGCGGCTGGCTGGTCACCGTCTCGCTCTGGCCGAGGATCTCGATCAGGGCCACCGAGCGCCGCCGGGCATTGTTGCCGGCCGCCGCCGGGACACCGCACAGGATGGAGTCCGGCCCGGGGGGCGGATGCCCCAAGTGATAGAGGCCCTGGTTGGTGAGGACCAGCGCGTCGCCGGCCAGGCCCAACGGCGACACCGAGTACAGCAGGTCCGAGTGGGGGCTGGTCGAGGAGGAGGTGGACGAGGAGGAGGAGGTGGACGAGGAGGACCCGGGCGCCAGGGCGGCCATCATGCCGCCGACGGTCGGGAGCGACGCCCCGCGGTGATGGTGGGCCCCGGTCGGGGGCAACATCGATGTCGGCGATGGGGGGACCACCGCGGCCGCGCCGTCAGCCCCCCCTGGGACCCCGGCCGCCCGGCCCGGGACCTGCATCAGGGGCATGGAGGCCGACATGCCGGCCGTCCGCAGGGACGACAGGGACCCATACTCCCGGAGGGTGCCCTCTTCGTGGGGGGCCGGGCTGTCGGCAGGCTCGGCCATCAGTGAGTCCAGCGACGAGCCGGGCGACGCGGTTTCCAGGGCCGCCGCATAGGACGGCGGGGTGCCGGTCCCGGCGCTGGCGGGGCGCGCCCCGAGCGGGGTGTCCGGCGGCGAGAGAGGGGCCACCGGCGCCGGCCCGGGGGCGGTGCCTGGGACGGAGGCAATGCCGTCAGGACCGGCGGCAGGCTCGGCAGCCCGGGAGGCGGGCACGGCGCCGGGCCGAGAGACGACATGCTATGCGAGAGCAGCCGGCCGGGCGCGGGGAGGAGGGGCGTGGGAGCGGTTAGTGGAGATGGATGGGGGGCGGGGAACACACATGGGGGAACAAACACCAGGGGAGGTGTGGGGGGGG